AAACTGAAACTTGATAAAAAATATTACCTTTAATACCAAAATATTCATAACGGAACGAAATGAATGAATAAAACAAAAGAAAAAAAAATTTGAACGCCCGATAAGGGACTTGAACCCTTGACCCTCAGATTAAAAGTCTGATGCTCTACCGACTGAGCTAACCGGGCAACTCTTAGAGAAATCTGTGGTAAATGTAGAAATCTTTATGATATGCCCTAATTCTCTAATAGAGGGTATTATGGTCGCGCGGAGATGATCTCAATTTCAAATTTCAATTTTATTACTATTATATATGCATTGGAAAACACTGGCGAGCAGGATCCACTGGCCTACAAATAGAAAAAAATGTGGCTAGTGCTAGCTAGTAAAATAGAAATCTTAGCAAAATCTTAGCTTTATTTGCTTAAAAAGAAATCTATGCAAACCAAATTGAGTTAGTTAAAAACTCAAAACTTGAAAATGAAGGAGTAAATGAAGCTAAATCGTGAATTTGACAACTTCATGTGAGTTTTTGATTTGTCAAACGTTTTGTTCACGTGTTTTTTAATATCATGTCTCTGTCGAAAATTAGGTTCGTTTTAATTTTTTTTTCATTTAAAAGAATAATGGGGTCCCTGTGGCAAGGAATGACGTGTGAAGTCAATAGACTCAATAGAGCATGCTCGGAACGTTTCGCTTGCGTAGTGACTGTTCAGTGTTGATTAAATTTCATGAAAACATGAAAACCTGCATGGATGCTGAAACGAAGAAACAACCTGGTAAGCGTACATACTTGTGAGGGGAGGGGTAGGCAGGATTAGTTGTGACGTCATTCAGATAATGACGTAATTACACAGGGAATCCAGCTATCTTAAATAAATAATCTTAAATTCGCCTAAATAACAACCATAATTGTAGAAAATGACAAAAACAACTTTAACTGGCAATTTAAATATGATGTTGATATTACTTTTCAGGAAACACTGATCATTTTTAATCTGCTAGTCAAGCTCAGTGTTAGGTTATCTTTTTTTAAAAAATCCATTATGAAACGAAACGTACTAATGGAAATCT